AGACACCGTCCCTTTTTACCAGAATGGGATCTAATGAGGGCGTCCTCTCGATTACAGGGCTACAAGGATCAGCATTTTCTCTCTTGCTCACGAGAAACCACATAAAATGAAACAACAGAAACCTGTAAATACCGGGGCTCCAGCTCATCGCCCTGGCCCGGCCAAGCAGACACGACTGGAAAGCAGTTTCAAGAGGAAGGAGGGTGGCCAGAGGGAAGGGCCATGACGTCAGCATCATCTTCATCTTCCTCCATGTCACCACCATCCAAAGCTGGACAGGTCCAGATGGACTCACATGGCGCCTAGTCAACTCAGTAAGAGGCACCCACTTGTCTCCAGGAGTGGAGAGCAGAGTAAATCAACACAACGTTCTCAGCCCCAGAATAGATGGCCAGCTAGGCTCCTGTGTTTGCCAGGTCTCCAGTCCCTACCCTGAGTTTACTTTGAAGGTTTTCCCAACTCATAAAATTCCCCACCCCGCCTCCTGGTTCAAGCCATGGTGCTGAGCTCCTGACTTCTTGTTGGTGTTCTGCCCAACTCTGTGACTCCACGGACTGCAGCACGCCAGGCCCCCCTGTCCTCCCCTATCTCCTGGATCTTGCTCAAATTCATGTCCATTGAGTCAGTGACACCATCCAACCATCTCATCCTCTGTCGTCCCCTTCTCCTCCCACCTTCAATCTTTCCCAGCATCAGGGTCTCTTCCAATGAGTCAGCTCTTTGCACCAGGTGGTCAAAGTATTGGAGCTTCAGCTTCAGCATCAGTCCTTCCAATGAATATTCAGGGTTGATTTCCTTTAGGATGGACTGGCTTGTTCTCCCTGCTGTCCAAGAGTCTTCTCCGGCCCCACAGTTTGTGGGTCTGTACTAGCGGAGTCAAACATACGACCTGCCCTTTGAGACTGAGGGTGCAGTCCTAGTCCTGACTGTTACAGCGGGGGCCCTCCTAGAGGGCCTGGGCCTGTCAGCCCCCCAGCATGAGACAGAAGTCTGCACATAACATCCAACGGCAACACCTGCCACCCACCTAGACCGCCCAGTGCCGAGCTCCGGCACTCAGAGTGGACTTGCTGCTGTGACTTGCTGGACTATATAACTCAGTTTCTCTGTCCTTTGAAGCATGGTCCTCGGGCTGCCCAGCTGTCACAGCCAGGATCAATCTATCCAGCGATTCCTTAGCCCTGCTTACCTGCCCTTTCTCAGTGAGCCGGTCCTAACCTGGTTCTTAGGATTCCTCCAGTGGCTCAGCAGGGAAGAATCCACCTGCAATGCAGGAGACACAAGAGGCACAGGTTTGACCCCTGAGCGGGGAAGATCCGTGGAGGAGGACACGGCCACCCACTCCAGTCCCGCCTGGAGAATCCCAAGCACAGGGGAGCCTGGCAGGCCACAGTCCATGGCATCACAAAGAGTCAGACATGACTGAAGCAGCTGAGTGTGCACATGATTCCAACCTGGTTCTTACAGCCCTTTGCCATCTAAAATCCCAACATGTACTGTCCCCAGGCCCTTCTTACTGGACCCCCAAGTCTTCAGCCTGACAAGATACATCTTAAGAATTTCTGCAACACAACAGAATTGCTTGTGTTTTTGTGACTCACAGCCTCATACCTGAAAACCCAAGTGGAAGATGTGCCCTTCTTACCGAGAATAATTGCGCAGACCAAGCAGAACTGTTTCCTTCTTGGTGGCTCAGATTTAAGTTTTTATTTGCTTCATCTTGTTGCAATAAAATGTGACTTTTGAACATTTTGCTTTCAGATATATTTATCTAAGAGGATTTTGCTCCATTATGTAAAATAAAACAAAAAAGATCATTTGAGGGGAAAATGTAACATAAGTCCATCATTTAGTTAGCTTTTCAAATTATATCTATTAGATCCTGACTTTCTGCCCAGATGCGAATGGAAAGTTTTTTCTTTCCATCTAAAAAGCAAATATCATTGAAAATAGCGCAAACCAAACAGCATGCTCTTTTTTTTTTTTTGATCTAGCCATGTTTGCTGTCTTTATCTTATAATGACCTTTCCCCAATTATTTTTTCTCTTTAGTGCCCAGTTTCTAAAAATAAAGTGGCGAGTGGATCTTTGAATGTAGGGATAATATTTTGATTTCACTAGTACATACAATCAGGAAATGTATTTCTGTTTATACTCTTAAAATCAGTTGAGAGTTGTAGATGAAGCCACGTCCTGTCAGCACATTTTTTCCCCCCAAACCTGGAAAATGTAACAAAATCCGAAGCAGCTGTAGGAAGCAGAATGTAGGCTCCATTTGCACTCAGCAGGAGGAGAGCGAACAGGAGGTAACTGGATAGTTTCCACGTGAAAAAGCTACAAAGAATTTAACCTGTAATGAAAACTCTGATAATCTCCAGGAATGAAAGATGCTTGGATGATGGGTTTGGGGTTTTTTCATGAGTTCAAAGGATCTGGTTTTTCCTATAAATGCCACGCAGGAATAGGAGACGATCCATGTGGTCATTGTTATGTCTGATAGCCAACAAGAGTTCAGCCCTCATCTTTAAGCCATTAAACAGTGACTGTGTGTGCATTTTAAGACCCCGGATTAGGCTGCCCAGGCCTCTCTCTGGAGAACACAGAACGCAGACCTCATTGCCTTATCACAGTCTGCTCCGAGACAGGGATGCTCATGGGCGATCAGCTTAAAGTTGGTTCAGGTGATGCGTAGGGATCCGATGGAGGCCAGAAGTCCTCCAACTCCGAGATGCACACCAAGAAACACTGGACCCTGTGACATGAAGATTCTGATTCAGCAGGTCTGCGTGGGATGGGACCTGAGATCCTGGGTTTCTATCCAGCCCTCCAGTGGTCCAATGGTGCTAGTCCCTGGACTGCTGTTGAGATAACAGCAGAGGGTTTCTTCCTCTGCCATCTCATCCTGTCTGCTGCGGTTGACAGTCTCTAGGAAGGTGCCCAGTGAGTGTCCCTCCCAGGATTCGGGTCCTTGAGTAATTCCTTGCCCTGGAGTCTGGGCTGGACCCACTGACCCAAATCTAACAAATGAATAGGGCAGAAATGGTGGCCCGTCTTTTCTGAGGTCAACTAACAAAACCTGTGGTGCTGGAGAAGACTCTTGGACTGCAAGGAGATCAAAGCAATCAATCCTAAAGGAAATCAACCCTGAATATTCCCTGGCAGGACTGATGCTGAAGCTGACACTCTAATACTTTGGCCACCTGATGCGAAGAGCTAATCATTGGAAAAGACCCTGATGCTGGGAAAGATTGAAGGAGAAGAGGGTAGCAGAGGATGAGATGGTTAGATAGCATCACCTACTCAAAGGACATGAGTCTGAACAAACTCTGGGAGAGTCCATGGGGTTGCAAAGAGTTGGACACAACTCAGTGACTAAAAAACAACAATAAGGCCCTCGTGAATGGCACAGGGAACTCTACTCAATATCTGTAATGAACTATATGGGAAAATAACCTGAAAGGAGTGGATATTTGTATAACTGATTCACTTTTCTGTGCAGCAGAAGCAAACATAACATTGTAAATCAACTCCACTTTCAATAAAAATTTAAAACACACACCCACAAACTGTCTAGGTCCACATCAGATGCTGCCCCTCCCGGGTCACTGCAGTTCAGGATAAAATCTCCCATCTCTGAAGATGGTGTTATCTATCGGTTTGTACAGCACCTGCTTCTAACCCACCTTTGTCCCGCCTCTAGCCAGCTGTCTCTTCCCTCCTGCATCATTTTGTATTTCAAGTATTCGTATATTATTAGCACTTATTATTATTCTAACTGCAGGAGACCCCAGTTCGATTCCTGGGTTGGGAAGATCTGCTGAAAAAGGGGCAGGCTACACACTCCAGCATTCGCAGACTTCCCTTGTGGCTCAGCTGGTAAAGAATCCGCCTGCCATGCGGGAGACCTGGGTTCAGTTCCTGGGTTGGGAAGATCCCCTGGAGAAGGGAAAGGCTACCCACTCCAGTATTCTGGCCTGGAGAATTCCATGGACTGTATAGTCCATGCAGTCGCAAAGACTGAACGACTTTCACTTTCACTTTCACTTTTCACTAACATTCATGTAGCCCTACCTCAAAGAAACAGCTAGTTACCAAGCTCGAGGAACCCTGTATTTATATTGATCACTTATCTCTTAAGCATTTAACTTTTCACACTTTGGATATTCATTTAATTGGTGCTAAGGAAATATCTGCAAGTCTAGTAGTTCAAAAAGATACAGGCCCCCAGTGCTCACTGCAGCACTGTTTACAACACCCAAGACACAGAAAGAACCCAGACGCCCATCGACAGAGGAACGGGTGAAGAAGACGTGGCCCATGTACACACGCACACATGGAATATTACTCAGCCGTGAAGAGTGATATAGTGCCATTTGCCACCATGTGAATGAATGGGCCTCGAAATTATCACGCTAAGTGAAGTAAGCCAGACAGAAAAAGACAAATGCCATTTTGATATCACTTCTGTGTGGGATCTAAAATATGATACAAGTGAACTTACCTATGAAACAGGAAAGGACTCACAGAGAAAACAGGCTTGCGGCTGCCAAGGGGGAGGGCATGGGGCGGGGAGGGACTGGGGTGGGCAGATGCCGACAGTTACCCACAGAACTGATGAGCAAGGCCCGACTGTATGCCACAGGGAAGCATAGCAACATCCTCAGTCAATCATAAAGGAAAAGAATATGAAAAAGAACGCATGCGTATGTATAACTAAATCATGATGCCGTACACCAGAAACCAACCCTATTTCCAAATCAACTACACACCAATAAAGTAAGTTAAAAAATACCTGTGAGTCTAACTAATAGAACGTACATTTCCCAGTATCCTGAGCCTGATGACAAACTCCTGGGACGTACGAGAACCATACAATTATGAAATTAATGATGAGACAAGCCTGAGAAGTGGCTGGATTGTCTACATGCAGAAGCCCAACCACGCTCAGCTTGCCTGTTCCTCGGTGCCTGCTCGATCGGCTTATCTCAGTGGATGCTGTACCTGCTCGCGTGTGGGCAGACCTCCACCTCGCTGATGTCAACCTGCCTCATGCGCAGACGGACGCAGCGGAGCCTGCAGGGAACCAAAGACCTCATGCTCGGACTTATGGCATTAGGATGTAGACGCGGGGTGGCGAAAACTAGAAGGGACTGTCGGGCAGAACTCCTTGTTGCCTGATTTTCCCGAGGATGAGAATGGTCATAAGACCTGCAGAAACGGGTACAGACATGCAAAGTACGTGAAGACCCTTGATTCCCAGCCCAGGGTCCCGTCTCTCTTTGTCCCCCCCCCCCATCCCTCCCAACTCCAGGAGACACCACTCGCATTTTCATTAAGCTTGTATGTGGTACACTGAGGGCACTTGATGTTAAAGGTGAGCTCTGGGAAGACCTATTCGCTGGCATCAAGGGTAACATAAGTCTTTGAAAAGAAAAAGACTTGAAAGTCAATCAGTAGGAAAGGACACTCACAATTGAGGTGAATAGTTAATTGTTACCTTTAGTTTAATCCCCAGATTCCTATTCACAACACATGACTTCTATACACACACACACAGACACACACACAGACACACAAGCATGCACAGGCATATACAGAGAAGCTGCTTTTGGTAAGGTGTGTCTGTCTGTATGTCTGTATTTACAATGGTATTATGAACACGAAACAAGTTAACATGTAAAAGGATTAGAACAGAGCCTGGTACAGGGTATCTTCTAAGAAGAGGTTTATTATTGTTGCTGTTCAGTCACTAAGTCATATCCAGCTCTTTGCAATCCCATGGACTGCAGCATGCCAGGCTTCCCTGTCCTTCACTATTTCCCAGAGTTTGCTTTAACTCACATCCAACTGAGTCGGTGATGCCATCCAACCATCTCATCCTCTGTCGTCCCCTTCTCTTGCCCTCAATCTTTCCCAGCTTCAGGGTCTTTTCCAGTGAGTCAGTTCTTCACATCAGGTGGACAAAGTATCGGAGCTTCAGCTTCAGCATCAGTCCTTTCAATGAATATTCGGGGTTGACTGGTTTCTTCTTGCAATGATCACTAATATAGAATTAGCACTAGGACTTCTCACCCTGCATCATTCCCATTGATGAATGTGATGAACACTCAGTTAATGTGAACACCTGCAAACGCAGCCGTTTTCAGAGTAAGAAAACTTTGGTAACTCAGGCATCAGAGATGTTCTGAGTGTCCTTCCAGGCTAGCTGAGTGAGGAGATGCCAAAAGTGAACCAGGAGGGCGTGGACCCTGCTCTCTCTGAGCTGCAGCTCCTTTCGCCTATTAGCAGTTTATTTATTGATTCTATTCAAAGGGGCCAACGGGTACTTTGGGATTTTTATCACATCTTCATTCAGTGTTAACATCAAGGATGTGCTTCCGGGACCTTCAGGTATATTCCATGTCCTCTTTGTAAACCTCTGAAGTACATACAGAAAACGCTAGGAGAGAAGACTTTTAAGGCAGCAAATGCTTCTTAGAATCATCAGCCTTCCAAGGCTCTTTTCTGAACCTTCAAAGAAAGTCACCCAGCCAACAGCAACTTTTCAATGGGAAAAGGCAGTGCCCGCAAGACACATACAATGGTTTTCCTGGAGGCTTGCTGCTGATGGCTGTAAAGATAGGAGAAGAAAGAGGGGAGGAAAATGACCCCCAACTCCCTTTGGACCAGGATGAAATAATCTAGCAATATGAATCAGAGGGGAGCATCTGTGGGGAAGAGGAATAAGCAGAGGCTCGTTGTTTTGGAACAAGCACGCCTTCTTTGCTTGCAAACAGTCCATCGCCGAGTGCCACGGTGCTGTTTCATATCAACATTTCACAAACCATTACAGGCCGCACAGGTATTGGAGGCTGCGGCAGATGTGTTGAAATTTCCATTGTTGTACTTACTGCATGGAAAATATTACTAATGGTGGGTGTCAGGGGGAGGCTTAACTGACCCCAACTGCATAAACTCATCTGGGCCGAGAGCTTGAAGTCAGAGCCTTTCAATGCTTGCTCTTGTTATTCCACCCTCCCCTCCCCCATTTTATGAGATATTTGACTATATATAGCTCATTTCAGGCAAAGGAGAAATTCCATGACCACATGAACAGGTGGACTGGGGACTTGGGTGAGGGGTGGGATCTCTCTCCTTGAGACCTGAATTTTATTTACAGCCAATTCTTGAATGTCTCTGACATGCAGGACAAAACCAAGAACAATGAAGAAACTGAAGTCTTCAAAATCCCATTCAGTCTCTCTCTCTCCTGTTACCTGCCGAGAATGACTCGAGTGACGTTTACACATCTAACTGAGCAAAATTACTTCTCCTTTAATTATTCCTTCTTCCCTCTCCAATGCACAAGCTGGTCCAATAGAAGAGAGAGAGGGTCTTAGAAACACTCCTACACATACTGACCCAGAGTTGACATTCAATTTTCATTTTTAGTATATGATTTGTGGTTTAAAGTTTCTGGGAGATACTGGCAATTACAAATATCAGAGAAACACTTGACTTCCACATTCTTGATATACCATGATTGCCAAAACAATGCTGGAGAAAGGAAAGGCTGCTCACTCCAGTGTTCTTGCCCAGAGAGTCCTATGGACAGGGAGCCTGGCAGTCCATGGGGTTGCAAAGAGTCAGACACAACTTAGATACTAAACAACAACAACCAGAACAATGAAGGTCTTGCTACAATCACAGATCCCCTGATTTCTTTTCTTTATACTTACAAAGCCTCAGAATGCCTTATGGGTTTCTCCACATTCATTCAGTAGAGGTGTCCTTCTTTCCCTCTCGTGAACTTACCAGTGACCCCAGAAGCAAGCTCATTAAGATCTAGAGTTCAGGATCAATTCAGAGGAATGTTGAAAATATGAATGCTTTTCTAAACCCCATGGTGACCTGATCTGAACCGTGTGTCTTTATTTGAACCTCTTGTCAGTAACACGGGGGGGGGAGAGGTCTCCTAAGTGTAACTTTCCTTGCAAGAAGGTTGCTGGCAGCTAAAGCTTAGCCTTGAAATCATAAGTCAGAAAAAGGTCAAGATGATAAAATGTGGCCATGGTTTCAGAAATGAACAATGTTTTAGTGAGCTCCATATATTAAATCTTTCTTTCAACTTGTGCTGCTCATTACACGGGATTATAATGAAGTGGCACTGGGATTTGAAAATTTAAAGCTATGATATAAATGCATGATGGCCATTACTTTTTTAAAACATCAAAACACAGACATACCTGGTTTCTGGTTTAAAAGAGATGATAAGGGTAACATTAAATGAAAAACATAATCATCGTAAGTTTTATAACCCCATGTCAAATTAAGCCCGAACCTTTTTACGTGTAAGAAAAATACCTATCTCCATTGTACAGTTGCTATGTCTCCGTTGGCATCTTAGCTGTTTCTCCTAACAGCGTGAGTCCCTACAGATGGTCCCTTACTGCCACGCTGGGGAGCCCACTGGAGGTTTGCCCTGGTTTTATGAGAACTGATAAAACTGGAAGAGGAGAAGAAAACAGAGAGGCTGCCTACCGAGAACCAGCGTCAGGACGGAAAACATGTCGTGTCATCAAGAGTGGTTGGTCGGAATCCCGCCGCATCCTCCAGCCTTGTTTTGAAATGATCCTCAAAGACTGAGGTCTCAGAGCCGGCGTAAACACTTAGCGCCTGGAACGAATTTAAAACTTGAGGGAACAGATGAGAACTGAACGAAGGGGAGAGCCTTGCTCGAGAAGGACCATGAGCAATTCCCAGGGCATGCTGCTGCCGGAATTTGCTGCAGAAATATAATGGAATTCCTAATTTGCTTTAATTAGAAAAAAGTAAACACTGCCCTCAGCATGTCATCATGTTTATATAGGAGCCCAACCAGCTGATTTTCTGCTGGCATGGCCCTGGAACCACTCAATTAAATCTCAGGGCACAATTTCTTTTTGTGAATGAAATACCATGACTATGAAGCCAGATTTTTTTTTTTTTCCATCAGCTTCACTGGCTATGACCAAGGACAAGTGACCCAACACAGGACCTTCCAATTTTCAGTCAACCCCTGACAGTGTCCAAGACTGGATCACTTAGAGGTCCTCTTTTTGAAGCAACAGCTTCATTATTTTAAAACTTTCCACTTTGCAAGAGTAAAAGAACAAAAATAGACTATCTCTAGCAAGCAACACTAGCAGTCACATAATTAATTTGAAAATAAAGGGAGAAAGAGGAGTTTGCTTCTTCACAGGCTTCTGGTAATCTTATTTGTTGAAATCCTAGTGAAGGTTTTATCCCAAGAATTAGAATTTTGTTAGACTTTTCCAGAGCTGGAAGGAACTTGGAAAGTATCTTCATGTTAGAGATTATTATACAACAGATATTCAACTTCCACATAAACTATTGGAGACATGGACATTTTAGTACAGCACTAGGTCAATTATCCCATAGTCTTTTAGATCAACGAAATTTGAGTCATAGTGAAATGAATTAGGAAAATTTTGTTTGAGAAGCTTACAAGTAAGTAATCACACATGATTTTTTTTTTCATGAAAAGGGGGTGGAAAAGATTCCTACTACTCTAAAGCAGACTGACATTGCAATTAAATACAGTGAAAAGCTAGTTTTTCTGCTATTAATGTGAAAGGAAGCAACACTAATTCTCTCAAACAGCTCCACACTTGAAGCAAAGTAACAGAAGACAGATCTGATTCTGAAAAGCTGGGGAATTTTTCCCCAACTCATCATCCCCATATCAGCCTCACCCACAGGTAAGGGCCTGTTGTATTATGCAACGTTGTATTACGTTGTATTACGTTGCATTACATCCTGGTGCGGGGGAGTGAACCTCAGCTTTAGCAATCTGTGTCTGGGAGCTTGCTTCCCAGGTGACGCTAGTGATGAAGAATCCCCCTGCCACTGCTGGAGCCGCAAGAGACGCAGGTTCAATCCCTGGATCAGGCAGATCTCCTGGAGAAGGAAATAGCTACCCAACTCCAGTATCGTTGCCTGGGAAATCCCATGGACAGAGGAGACTGGCATGTGCAGTCCCCGGGGTCGCAAAGGGTCGGACACGACCGAG